CACACCACCACCACACTTACAGTAATGAGCTTTCAGTCTCATATGAATCAAAAGAGACCACATTGAGAATGACCTGGTTCAAAAAACAATTTTTTGCCTTTACACCTAGGGTGAGTATCACATTGCACTCTAAAAGAAATATAAATTCGTAATTATATATCGAAAGATTAGAATTCTTTTATTGCATTCTCAATCATATGAACAAGTAACAAAGTGATTCAAAATCAAACGCCATTATTCATTAATTTTTTGTTATATTGTTATATTATTCTATTTTGTACATAATTATTTATATATTACTCAATTTCAAGTATTTTACATGAGAATTTCTATACTCAATTGTATTAAAACATATCTGGTTGAAAATTTTAATCTTTTAACTTGTGAATTGAGAAATTGAAGATTTTCTAGAATGTGAAGTGTCATTTGCCCTATACAAGTAATTTCTTAGAAACTTCTTCCTTGTCTCGTTGTGAAACTCTCAATGGCCATCAAAGACCATGTGAAAACAAAATAGAATACTTACAATTTCAAACAATTTAACTACAATCCAACACACGAGACTCATACTCTAGAAATCTAAGGAGGTATGAATGTACTCAATTTTACTCCGCTTGCAAGACTATTTGCATCACTTTAACATGTGATGTCCACATCACGATAAATTAAACCTACTATTGCGTCAAGGTGCCATGTGCAATTTCATGTGGGGGAAGGGAGGAAGGGGCAGACATCTCCCCATCTTTCATTTTCAACAGACACATGCCAATTTTCATCAGGAGGATAGCTTCTGCATAGGCATGAACCGCAAAGAAAGACATATGCAGAAAATGTGGCAAAACTTGCAATTCCTACGTGGATAATGACACGAGGACTCCTAATCCCCACCCTCGCAAGCAAGGATGGGGATTCTTATTCTCCGTTTTTCTCTTCTGTGAATGAGGCAGTTGGTCTTAAAGTACATTTTAGAACCAATTATCTGCTTTAGTGAAATTGTCTGCATTAGAAGGTTCTTCCTTCTTTAACGGGGCTTCCTAGTGTGACATTCCTTCCTCGATTATGAATAAATATTTGTGTAAGGGTAGATAAAGCCGCAAAATCGATCAAATAAGGTCACAAGGAGGTACTACGCTTAATTAACATGCCAAAAAATTCATTACTTAAAGCTTTAGATGAAATTTCACTATCGTCATTAAAGCAGTAAGGATTAATTAGAATATGCGTGAGAAAGACTAGAGGTCATAGACCGGCAAATAGAGGGCAGAGGTCAATATTCCTACAGTTAAACAGGACAGATAGTCATCTTGCAATCTATTTCATTAATTTGTCATTTCTCTTGTATACTCTTTAAGACGCTCATCTGAAGTCTTTCTTGTTGCAATTATAGCTGCAGTACAACCAAAACTTGAACTTAGGACCTCGTGCATTGGACGCATTATATTGATGAGTATCTGCAAGAAAAGTAGAAAATATGCAACATTTACACAGTTCACAAAAAGTAATGATCAATTGGACCATAGGTTGTCTTGAATAACAAGGAAAATGTAGTGACCTTACAGAAGTTCCAAGAAAATAGTATTGGAGAAAATATTGTCCAGATTGGTGTTGGAACGTTTTTCTGGCAAGTTAGAANTAATCAATTGGACCATAGGTTGGCTTGAATAACAAGGAAAATGTAGTGACCTTACAGAAGTTCCAAAAAAATATTATTGGAGAAAATATTGTCCAGATTGGTGTTGGAACGTTTTTCTGGCAAGTTAGAAGTTGTTTGATAACACCGCTTAAAATTAAAACTAAATACTTTAAATACTTAATAAATTAAACTCGTTTGATTACCTAAAACACATACTACTTAATATTTTAAACACTTCTTAAAAGTAACAAGTCACCTACTTATCACTTAATACTAAAAATATTAGTAAGTTAAGATTTTATCAATTTCTTATAATTGATAAATATACTCTCACCACCATTTTATCATTGCCACCACCACCAACATTATCACCACCATTGTACCACCGCCGCCACCACTACCATAGTGCCATCGTCACCACCACCACCACTATTGTCACCACCACCTCCGCCACCACAACCGTCACCACCATTGTGTCGCAATCAACCACCACTATCACTGTAATTGCCACCACAATGTTGCCGCCACCGCCATTACCATCGTTGTCGCCACCACTACCATTGTGCCATTGCCACCATTAACACCACCATTATCGCCGCCGCCACCACTACCACCACCAGTGTGACGGTGGTGATAGGAATAAGGCAATTGCAAAAAGATGATTAAAAAGAAAGACAAAATTAGAATAATAATAATTTCAGACTTCAACTCTTTATATTTGTCAAACAGTTTGATTAAATTCAATACTTAAATTTCAGTTGATACCAAACAGTCTACGAATTAAAAAATTCAGCATTCAATACTTAAAATTCAACATTCAATTTTCAGTATTCAACTTTCAATTTTATCTAACATCACCTTAGTAGTGATCTGAAAGCTAGCATGAGTGCACGACACAACNAACCTAGGAATTAAAAAATTCAGCATTCAATACTTAAAATTCAACATTCAATTTTCAGTATTCAACTTTCAATTTTATCTAACATCACCTTAGTAGTGATCTGAAAGCTAGCATGAGTGCACGACACAACGAGCATGAGCATTGGATACGAGTAGGCAGAATTGCCATCGGATGTGTACCTAACGTGTACGCCATCAAGGAAGAGAGTGACACTTCCTTAGCGCTATAACTAACTAAAATGAAATCGTCATCTGCTTTGATACATTCCAAATCAATAAGGAACAAAGGTTAAGAATGCTACACCTGCATACATGTCATTTTATGCAAGAGCTCTTAAACATTTTCACAATTGTATCCCATTTTCAACATTCAGGAGATATGTCATTTCTATACACTTACACTCTTCAGGAATACCCATGTTCAGGCAGTGGATTTAGTTAGTTTTAGGGTGACAATGAACGAAGTTTGACCAAAAAAACCTTTAAGAACAGGTAGTCGAAGAACAAATTACTTTTGCATGATGGCAGGTAAAAAGTAATCTGATATTACAAAGAGTATCCATATAGCTGACAGAAGGAAAGTTAGAAGAGCAGAGTAATTGCAATGCACAGTTATAGCATGAATAAAAGATAAGTTTTCATTTGATACATAGTAAGACTAACACGATACTGTGGCGACTCTAAAGCAAGGATAAAAGATGTCATATCATTAGTAATGCAGGTAGAGATGGCAACAAATCAGAAACCCAAAGGTGCACGCGCGCGCGGGGGGGGAGCCCAAAGAAAAAGAAATTTGAATGAACCTAAGCGATGTTTTGCTTTATTGAAGCACAACAAAGCAAATGTTTGCAACAGATGAAATTTAATGAGTTCCTTTTTTCATGTCTATCTCTTATCCGCAGATAGACACTGCATCATCATTCATAGAACTTAGTACAGGATTACTAGTGAAGAGAAAAAAGGGAAATTGACTAGTACCAATGTTGGCAGAAAGGCCAGCTCCCAAATCCTGATGCCACAAGCTTTTAATCCCATATTACTGCCCAGTGTTGCTCAGATTCTTAAACAGTTTGCTCTGTGTGTATTTCACATGCATCAGTAGGTCCATAATTCCGTTAAAATAGTAAAATCTAAAGCTCCCTCCCTCAGCCAAATGTCCCTGTTGACAAAACAATTGTACTAGAAATATGATATGGAAAGAAATTGAATAAGCATCTGCTATCCACATGGAAAAAATTGAAATAAATCTAGACGAAGGTTATCAAGGATGCCAAACCAATAGACTCATTACACCAAATTCTTCAATTCACTACTCTCATAGCATAAACGAGTATTTTGGTGCACAAAAATAAAAATTCGGTCAAGGCTTACCCTCGGAAGAATTGATGCCCTGAGGACCCTTATCACCTGAGAATGTCAAGACCTGAATCATACCCTCGCAAAATCTATATAGACTACAGGTTCAGCATTGTTTCCACAACAACATGAATTTCCAAATTGGTGGGAATTATACCAAATAACAAGTCATATGCTGGATTTGTTCAATTTTCTTTAAAAGTAAACATAACCTAAAAGATCAGTCATATGGTAATAAGCCTGGGCCTTAATCTTGCCTCAACAGCAACAAGCATTTGTTTCTGCACGGTACAGAAGATTGTCTGCTATGTGAAATTTCATTCACAAAATACAGTTCCATATCTAGAAGTGATGCAATGTCTTTGCTTTCAGTTCATATCTTAGATGCACATATATTTGTTGGTGAATGTATTTTAGAGTGAGAAACTTGATTTCCTATCCAAATGCAGTCACTATCACCAAGTGGTAATTTCACATATTTTCAATTGCATGAAGAAACAAGAAACTGTAAACCTACTTCCAGATGTAGAGCAGAAAGTGCAATAAAATTAGGATTTAGAAGCAAAAGCAACTACATCGTTTTGCTTCTCTTGTGAGTGGCCATCATTATCGTAGGTGCTGCCGATCAAGTGATGAAGAAGCACACCTGCTGCAACACTTACATTCAAGCTCTCCACAGCCATAAAAGACTGGAACTCTTGAAGTGAGCAACTGTAATCCATCTCAGCAGTTTTTACTTTTTCATCTTGCCCACCAGTAACATCCATGGGAATGTTTCCAGGAATTCTAATCAACTGGGTGCAAGATCTCTCTACCAATGGCCTCAAACCAGTCCCCTCACTGCCCAAAACAAGAATAGTGGGTTCACCAGGCAAAACCTCATTCAAAGGAACAGCTCTAGTAGAAACTGAGCCCCCGAGAACCCGCCAACCATTTTCAGCAGAGGATGTTAAGAACTGCATCATATTCTTGCAAGACCTAAGCTCCATTAATTCAAGTGAGCCTGCACTTGCTTTGCTCACAACCCCACTCAATGGAGCTGAATTCTTCGCACACAACACCACCCCCGACACTCCAAAAAAGTAAGCAGACCGAATAATTGCCCCCAAATTCTGAGGATCAGTAACTTCGTCCAAAGCTACCCAAAGAGGGGCCTTTTCTGCCTCAACTGAAACAGGATCTAATTCTTTTATACCAACCATCTCCAACGGAGAAGCATCCAGCACCAGGCCTTGATGGGGCCGATTATCCACAACCATATTGAGATCATGCTTGGATACCACTTTTTCGCTTAACCCAATTTTTTCAGCTATCTTCAATACTTTTTCAAATCCTTTTTTGTCTTTCTTCTTCCTGTTATTACCACTCAAATCCAACCCTTCCTGAACATACAAAGCAAAAAATTCTCTTCTTCCAGCTGACAACGCAGCCAAAACAGGACCAACCCCATAAATTCCTTCACCAACCATCTTTGGCACTGTCGATTCGGTACCTTCTTTCCATGTCTTCCTACCCCAATTTTCCTGCTTATTCCACTTCTGAAACTCTGGCCTACCTGACCCAGGTTTCACATCCACAATCTTGTTGAACCTATTCTTGATCTTATCCCACCTCGGATCATCAACAACCTCAAATTTACCCTCTTCGTTTTCTTCTTCAAGCCTATCATTTCTGTTCTTATATTCATTTTCTCGATATTCAAATTTATTCATTTCTCTGCTCTCCAGGCCGGATCCTCCCCCATTTAGGAATTTTTCAGCAGATTGTTCCCAAGAAGACCGACTAGTCTTTGTGGTCACCATTTCCCCAGACCTCTTTGCTTCTTTAGCTTTAGGTGTAGCCAACCAAGGAAGGGGTTTTCCCGCATTAACCACACTATCACAGCCTTCAAGAAATTTCTGCGAATGTGAACTCGAGAAACTTCTCATAAATGGGTAATTCTCCAGAGAATTTTTCAGACGAAACCTAGTTGAGAAATTCCTAGGTTTTCCTAAACTGCCCTCTTCTCCTAGGATTTCATGGAAGAAATCAATCGAAACATTTCTGGGTCTCACTGAATTAGAATTTTCAAGGCTTTTGTGACCCAAACCAGCTCCTAAACTTCTAGAATTTACTGTAAGTGAATGCTTTGTGAGTTTTGGATGAAACCCAACTAGCAAAGCATGAGGCTTTGAGGTGTAAACTTGATTGAAAATTCTGGGTGGTTGTGTACAAACCATAAAGGCTAAAGTCTGCCCTTTTGTAAAATTACAATACATGGTAAGCATCAACAATCAACAAATTTTCAGCTGCTGGATAGTGAATTTGAAAGCTCGCAATAGGAAGCATTCAGAGAAGAAGAAAAAAACCTGTATATATTGCTTCAATTTCAGCATGTAACATTCTCATCAACACGCCATGCATTGCTTGGGTTCTCTTTCTGTATGAAGTTTGAACGTAGGGTTGGGGCTCTGAGAAGGGGGCTTAATCTGCTAGCCAAAAGATCAGTAGTGTAGAATTAGGTTCTGAGATACGACGTCGCTTTGCGTCAGTGCCTCCAAGGCTCCAACTAAAATCCAATATACCGAGTAAATACTTTTGCGTGGACCGAAATACCCTTGTATAGAGTAGTGTTAACAAGTTTGTTTTTCTTTACCCCTACACGAGGGCATCAATTATTAGATCAATAAATCAATTATTTATTTTGATATATTATCATATAATACGTGTGTTAGGAAGTTCTATTTGATAAAATTATTATCTCAATTCGAAAAAAGTAATAAATACTAATCATTATCTTGTTATAAATGATAATTGATGGGGTCTTGAAAATCACAGCCCAAGTCCAACGTATGCGAGGTTTACTGAGTCTGGTATGAGAGTTAGTTTGATAGATTGGATTATCTGTTGAATGAGAAGACACAGAATGGTAAGTGATTCGCCTTAGCTGATAGACCAAAGTTACGTCCACTGTAATGGAGTCTCTTGCTCTTTGATTTTGTATATTGAAATTCTGATGTATATAGCCGGGACGTAGGCGCTGGGCCCTTATAGATAATGTTTAGCTTATTGGGTGTTCACGATTGTTTTATGTTCTCTAGCTCTCTCCTTTTTTGTAGGTCATTGTTCTATATGTATATATATATATATGTATGGGATGCCTTTTTTTTGTGGTTTCTAGCGATTTCTTCTACCTTTTACCAATCCTGTGGAGACCTTATGTTTTTGTCCTGCAAAAGCCTTTTTCAGCCGGCACCACTACACCCACGATTTGTAGGGCGTTATGCTCCATCATCTTCTACGTGGTGGAGGATGTAGCTATCACAGGTTTCAGAAATGGTCTCCCTGTCCTCTTGACGCATGGTACGACAGGGTGACTCTAAGGCAAAGATCTAATTCCTTCTCTTCGGATTGTCCTTTAGCTGGCACCTAATTGGCCCGGGACTGGACCTCTGTCCCTCGAGTACCCCGTTAGGCCTTGTCTTTTCAACTCTTTTGTCATGGGTCAATCAGAAGCGCTTCATGTTGGGGCCAATGAATTTTCCTCCAGTTTTTCATGGCTTTTTGGGCTTTGAGCTTGTTGGTGGCCTATGTTCAAAATTTTACCCTTATCAATAACATAACATAATTTGTATGTGGAGCATGAAATTAGCACATAAATCGCGTGATGCATAAAGTTATGACTCTGCCCAATCCTTTAAAATTATTCTATTCTATTATTTAGGATATTGGATAAGAATTATGATAAACTATAAGGTGATACATATAATTTTTTTTAAAAAAATTAAAGAGATAGTAATTAATTAGTGGGTTAGAATGGTGGTTATATAACACATGTGACAGCATAATGTGATTTGATAAAATCTCATGTCGTAATTAAATAGATAAAAATTTGAAGAAAAAAGAGAATGAGGAANGCGATTTCTTCTACCTTTTACCAATCCTGTGGAGACCTCATGTTTTTGTCCTGCAAAAGCCTTTTTCAGCCGGCACCACTACACCCACGATTTGTAGGGCGTTATGCTTCACCATCTTCTACGTGGTGGAGGATGTAGCTATCACAGGTTTCAGAAATGGTCTCCCTGTCCTCTTGACACATGGTACGACAGGGTGACTTTGAGGCAAAGATCTAATTCCTTCTCTTCGGATTGTCCTTTAGCTGGCACCTAATTGGCCCGGGACTGGACCACTGTCCCTCGAGTACCTTGTTAGGCCTTGTCTTTTCAACTCTTTTGTCATGGGTCAATCAGAAGCGCTTCATGTTGGGGCCAATGAATTTTCCTCCAGTTTTTCATGGCTTTTTGGGCTTTGAGCTTGTTGGTGGTCTATGTTCAAAATTTTACCCTTATCAATAACATAACATAATTTGTATGTGGAGCATGAAATTAGCACATAAATCGCGTGATGCATAAAGTTATGACTCTGCCCAATCCTTTAAAATTATTCTATTCTATTATTTAGGATATTGGATAAGAATTATGATAAACTATAAGGTGATACATATAATTTTTTTTAAAAAAATTAAAGAGATAGTAATTAATTAGTGGGTTAGAATGGTGGTTATATAACACATGTGACAGCATAATGTGATTTGATAAAATCTCATGTCGTAATTAAATAGATAAAAATTTGAAGAAAAAAGAGAATGAGGAAGGTAGGGTCATGTTTGATTAGCTTTTCAAAATTTGTTTTTTGTTTTTCAAATTTCAAAAACACTCAAAACATATGTTGTTTAGCATTTTTATTCTCAAAATTTTGAGAAAAAAATGAAATTTGAGTCAAATAAACAGCAAATAAAGAGAACAATTTTGAACTTTAATAAGGTCTGCCTTTTGAGTCTCCTTAGCAGCAAATTTCTTCATTCCTTTTTTTTTTTTACTTCTTCCTCTCTCTCATATTATAATATAATATAATATACATCTTATTATAATATATTATAATATATAATATAATATAATATATTATATATGATATTATATATATATATATATATTGTATTTTAAAGTTTGGTTTATTAAATTTTTTTTATGAAATTATCAATCTAAAAATAACTTTCTTATATTTTTTTATNAATATACATCTTATTATAATATAATATATAATATAATATATTATATTATATATGATATTATATATATATTATAATATATATTGTATTTTAAAGTTTGGTTTATTAAATTTTTTTTATGAAATTATTAATGTAAAAATAACTTTCTTATATTTTTTTATTAATGTTTGAATTACTGTTCAAACATATANTAGGCTGTTTAAACAAATTTTATTATTTTCTGTACTGTAAAATTATTTTTGAAATCATCTAACAAAATAAGTTTTTTATTTAAAAAAATATCAAAACCATTTTCTTAAAACTCTTCTCAAAAACTGTTTTCGGATACTATTCTTTGAAACGCAAACCAAACAGACCCTATATTTTTTAATGTCTTTTCTAACTATTTTTATAGGATATAAATTTTTTGATCTTTTACTTAAATTTTTTTTGAGACAATAAAAAAAATAATAGATTGAGATTTTTCTTTAGTATAATTCCATTCGGTTTACTCAAATCATAAATCATCAATTATGTGTTTAAACGAGACTTATTATTTATAAATAGATTTCTCATAATAAACTATCATTAAGTGAAAGCATAGTAAAAATAAATAAATTCAAGAATAGTTAATTTTTTTATTTTTTATTATGGAGAACTTAGACTTGCACTCACTTCTCCGTAAAGTTCAACCGGCCATTGTGAGTAGGGGTAGCAAACGTATCGGGTTAAACGGATGACGGGTGAAAAATATATAAATCCGTACATGACATGTTTAATAAATGAGAAAAAANAGTTCTCTGTAAAGTTCAACCGGTCATTGTGAGTAGGGGTAGCAAACGTATCGGGTTAAACGGGTGACGGGTGAAAAATATATAAATCCGTACATGACATGTTTAATAAATGAGAAAAAAATCTCAACATGAACACGATTCATTTAATAAACGGGTAATACGACACGATTCGTTTAATCCGTTTAATTTTAAAAAAATTATATTAACAAATTTTAATACTCCACTTTTTTTATTGTCATATGCACTTACTTCAAAAAAGAGGAATTTTTAGCAAAATCTCATAAAAATAAGATTTGAAAGCTTAAAAAAAAAAAAAAAGCAAAAGGTCATTACTTTTTATAGGCAACTCAACCCTTCTCATCTTTCCTTATTTTTCAATGTGGGACAAAAACAAAAGACATTGGTTTGACTTTGTCTTTGAAGTGCTCTTCATCTCATTTCTTTTGTCCTTGAACTACTACTTTATTTTATTTTTATTAATTTTTTTACTTTTTTTTTTTTGTTAATTTTTTAAAATAAATATTAATTTTATTTAAACGGATAAACGTGTGTGGTAAACGATTTAACAGGTCTCACCCGAATACGACCCGTTTATTAAACGTGTTTAACATGTCAATCCGTTAAAATATTACTCAAACCCGCTTAATTCGTGTCGTGGCGAATTTTGACGGAGTGATATATTAATTACGTAGAAGTCAATTTATCGAGGGTAAATTAGGCATTGCANCATCTTCCCTTATTTTTCAATGTGGGACAAAAACAAAAGATATTGGTTTGACTTTGTCTTTGAAGTGCTCTTCATCTCCTTTCTTTTGTCTTTGAACTACTAATTTATTTATTTTTTATTAATTTTTTTACTTCTTTTTTTTTTTGTTAATTTTTAAAAATAAATATTAATTTTATTTAAACGAATAAATGTGTGGTAAACGATTTAACAGGTCTCACCCGAATACGATCCATTTATTAAACGTGTTGAACATGTCAATCTGTTAAAATATTATTAAAACTCGCTTAATTCGTGTCGTGGCGAATTTTGACAGCCTTAATCGTGAGTGATATATTAATTACGTAGAAGTCAATTTATCGAGGGTAAATTAGGCATTGCAAAATCGATTATTTAGCACCGTCATGGCCCCAAATGTTATCACTTCCCTTTAAACCCTTCTCCACGCTCAGAAAACCTAACAATTACGCTGCAACGCTCTCTCCCAACCTTCAAGATCACACCATGGGAACGCCGGAGACTTCTCGAGAACCTTGCCCAGATCGAATTCTAGACGACATCGGCGGCGCGTTCGGCATGGGCGCGGTAGGCGGCTCGGCGTTTCACTTCTTGAAAGGCATCTACAACTCTCCCAGAGGCGAGCGTCTCATCGGCGGCTCACAAGCTGTGCGTATGAACGCGCCGCGAGTAGGCGGCAGCTTCGCCGTCTGGGGAGGTCTCTTCTCCACCTTCGATTGCACAATGGTCTACGTCCGCCAGAAGGAAGATCCATGGAACTCTATCATCGCCGGCGCAGCCACCGGAGGATTCTTACAGATGCGTCAGGGGCTCGGCGCGGCTTCACGGTCGGCTCTGATCGGTGGAGTTCTCTTGGCTCTTATTGAAGGTGCTGGTATTATGTTGAATAAGTTCATGAGTGCTCAACAAATGCCTCCGATGGTGATCGAAGAAGCTATGCCCAATATGGCTGGTGCTGGTGGGCCTAGTGGGCTAGGGTTTCAATTGCCGAATAATCGGGCCCAACCAGAATTGTCGGCGTCGTCATCGTCATCTTCACCGGCAGCGACTTCGAGCTGGATGTCTTGGTTTGGAGGTAAGAAAGAGGAAGAGCAGAAGAGTGGTGGTGTGAATACCGAGGTTTTGGAGAGTTTCGATTCGCCAATGCCACCGACTTTCGAGTTCAAGTGAATTCATTTGGGGAAATTTGAGGTTTTGTTGTTCAATTTTGGCTGTTGAATTTAGGATTTTGGATGATTTAATGTTGGAAATGTCGTGAAACGATATTTTATTGTTCTATAGTCTCATTTTTCCAAGTATGTCGGTGAATTATAGTGAGAGAATTGTATAATAATGGGATTTGTATTGTTTTAACAAAAGGGAAATAGTTGGAAGTTCTTGATTATTCAATCAAAAGTTTCATTTTTGGCACTTGATTGATTGGTTTGGATTTCAATCTCTTTATTGGGTTATAACTCGAGAACTTACGCACATGGATATGTATGACCTTTTATGCCACTTTATGTTGCTGCAAATGTTTTATGCGATGATTGAACTTGGGAGTTTTGTAACTTTTGTTTGTTGAGGCTAATAAAAATGTGTGAAGATTGCATTTTTTTTTATTCTGTTGTCTACTAATTTTTTTGTAGCTTCTTTATTTGTTATCTTTGATTTGCCCATGTTACTGAAATTTGGTGGTTTTGTTGCTGGCTATGTGTGCTGAGTTGTTCGGTTGCAATGTTAGGAATTGTATGTGGTAGAACGCTTTTATGTTGCTATTATTGTGGTTTTAATTTCCATGTGTGAGAGAGATGGATTGTATGATATAGGTTGAATATCAATATTTCTATTACGCACACACTGGATGACACGAGAAGGAATTCAGCAACTTTTTCAGTGTCAGCTAGATTTTCATATTGTGCACTCAATTTAGTAAAGTTTTTACCTTCAATCAAGTTGTACACACACACACACACGCCCTTGTGTTCATATCTGCCTTTTGGTAAGATAGAACTCTCCTGCTATGATACATGGTGGAGACAAAAACTCTGAAGTAGTAGATCAGATGGTGTAAAAATGCTTGTACACCTCATGTTTTTTTCCTTCTTTTTCAAGCCTTGATTGTATTCAGGGTTATGCTGTGTAGAGTCTGTAGACCCTAATGCATAGGCATTCTGTAAGAGGAGTTTTTCATTGTTTTCCCCTCTTTTCTTCTAAAGCTTGAATTCCTTATCAATGAAATCCTCAAATTTTAATTAAAAAGAAAAAAGTACTTACAGTCCAATGGTGTATCTGAGACCTGATAGTTAATGCACTGTTAGTGTCTGCTTTAACACTCATTTTGCTTTCCAACTTCCTTTTGTAACTAAAAACTAAAAAATCATAGTTTCTTTGATATGTGTAGAGGTTGCTTGTATGGTTCAAATCTGTACAAGTACTAGTAACAATGGAATAATTTTACTGCTTTGTTTTGCCCTCATAATAAATGATAAGCTTGATGAGACTACAAGAGTAGTAATCTTTTGGGGGTATGAAAATGTTTGCTTCTTCATAATTTGGATTTGGCCAGAAAAGAGGGACAATTGAAAATTTCAGGATTCCGCTGGAAGGTCGTAAGGCTAAAAGCTTAAGGTTTGGCTTTTGAAAGAGAAACTGAAGTCGCATTTGTAAATGTAATATATAATTTTCATGTGGATTCATATTACATGCACTTATTACGATTCTCCATGCTCCATCAACACGACAATGCTTAGTATCTGTATATACAAACACCACTTGCAATAGCAACTACTCCCATAACATTTGTTGTATTTGCTTAAATAGACCAGAGGAGAATCTTACACCAAAAGTTGCTACTCAAATTAACAGCTTTAATCCCGTCTTTATGCCGTATTTTCTCTGTACCAACAAACTTCCAATGCTAGAAAAAGAGCAGAATGGCAAACCATTAATGTAGTTTTTGGGAGGCGTCGGTTCAGTTAAAAGCCTCCCTCACAGGGCCATAAATTATGGTTTTGCGAGCGTGATCTCTTATAGTAGGAAGGAAAGAAAAAAACTCTAAATGTTCCAATGGAAGTTGCGAAGAAAGTAGGGGAATTGGAAAATATACAAAACCTAAATGTCAAAGCTGCATCATGGGAATACCGGGGCTCTGACTAGAATCAAGGCTCCTCAACTTCAAGGTAATGGGAATGAGAGGCCGCCAGGAGGGCAGCTCCAATGCCCGATCCATCATTGGAATGCTCAATGACAATCTTTTCAGAAACCTCTCCCAGTAACTCATTAAGGGTGCTCTCCAAACTATCTCTGAATTTGCTGTAGTGCTCGAACAGTCCACCATCTAATGCTATGACTGACTTCTGGTTCTCCCGCTCCCTCACCGTCTCTCTTCCCAATTTTTTGAGGATGCCAAGAATCCCAGCAGCAGCAAGGCGAGCCCCACGAGTGGCAACAATGTCACAAAGCTCAACAATTACTTTCCTTGTTTTTAGAGAAGTATTCGATATCTGCCACGAAGGAAAAACATATTAAAGGAATAGGATATATAAGAAGCTCTGCCCTCTGAAGGGTAGCAAGTTCACATCAACCCATGCCTCTTGTAAGTGCTATCTCTACATGTAAGCCAACTCAAATAGAACAGGAAGAAAGAAGAGAGATACAATAATATATTTTCCCTTGAATAAATAAACTGAGCAGTTAACGCTAGTCAACGTGTGCAGAGTATTATACCTCTAAAATATCATTTAGCTTGCTCCCGACCACTTTCAGATCAGAAGACGAGTCGTGATGCATAGCAGACATGTGAGGAGTCCTGCACAAGTACCAATTAGTACGTGTTTGCTTAATGATTAGCCAAAAAATAAAGATCAATGCACGTCATATTTCAAGCATGTAACAACTAATGCCAGGAAAAAGGTCATATCGATGAAGGATATTGCACAGTTCATCTGTTGTCGGCGGCTATGGACACGATAAGATTAATATTTTCTGCATTGGGAAGTCATACGATTTAAGTAGGACAAGCAACATTTGATGGTTGGTAGGGTTTGTTATGGCTATGATCCCCTATAGCAACCACAAAAGTATATACCTGGTTATTAAACCTGCTCTATAACACTGAGACTCTTTTTATATTCTTCTTTTTTTTTTCCTTAAGGTTTATATTCTTTGTTTTATCTACCCAGTTTTATCGGATTACCCAGAGGGACAGGATCATTCCATGTTCTACATAAATCTATGCACCTCCTGAGAGATGCATCCTCCAAATACGATGTTTGGAGTTCCCCCACCTAGTGATTTGGTCCATCCAAAGTTATTCATATTCAGTCTCTTTTTTTTTTCCATGTCTATTACTACAGAGATGTCTTCAGATCCAAAAGTGTGGTTCAATTAGCAGATCATTTACCAATCATGCTTGATCAATAAGCTCTTCATTCCCGTCTTTCACTGTTCCCTACTGTTTGGTAAAACCTATTCTAGTCAGCAAGGGACAAGATGATTTGGTCAAACCTGATAAAATGATTGGTATCTCTAAGATTAATGGATGTGCTTAAGCAACTACTACGCCCCCACCCACAGCCATTCTCACAGATAAGTTTAGGTCATTCAGGAATACGGTGATTTTCAATCAGGAAAAGCTGTGCTCAAAGGATTTGAGAAGCATTTACATTCGACAAGTCCAGGGTAAAGTGCAGATCCAACAAGGTTTACAGTCTCAGCATAGATTGATACACATAAGTGAACCATTTCACATACAGATCATCAACCAATGATAAAGGCGAAGTCCTTCAAATTGAAGGAAAATTAAGTCAATCATCAACAAAAGCCATACTCAGCAGAGATGATGCTTATACTTTATGGAAAAGGAAAGGAATACATGAGGCTTCAGGTTGATACACATCCGTGAACCATTCCACAACAGGTCCTAAACCAAAGATGAATGCTTTCAAACTGAAGCAAAAGGAAATCAGTTGTACAAGCCATACTAAGAATAGTCATGGCTTATACTTAATGGAAAATGAAAAAAGAAATATAATCATAAATGTCTGACCTTAAAACAAATGGAATTTTCAGCTTTGGTGGGACTGTGTCACCAAAAAGGGCAGCTTCTTCGGCCATCCTGCACATGACTCTGCGTACAATTTCTCCCAGATACATGCCAGAAATCATCTTCTCAAAAATCTGCAGACGTTAGTTGAAAGTTAAAACCAGATATTACATACATTCAGAAACAATACTAGGTTAACCTAAACAATGACAATGTACTTTAATGACCTGCTCTCCAGGATTCAAACTCTCTACATCCAGAGTTTGATCGTANATATTCAGAAACGATACTAGGTTAACCTAAACAATGACAATGCACTTTAATGACCTGCTCTCCAGGATTCAAACTCTCTACATCCAGAGTTTGATCGTATTCTGTTATTGGAAGATGTGATGATCGGAAGTTACCCCATTCCATGTTGATCACCTTCACTTGGTCCAAGAAAAATTAGTGTCAGGTTACACAGTAATGTATGTACACTTGGTCTGAAACCATGTTGATTTCTATCCCAATAAGGGAGAGATAAAAACAACAAATGAATTGAATTCAAAGTAGCTTAGATTGGGTAGAATAACATTATATAACAAACATTTGACAACTGCTAACCATCTCTCCCGATTTGGGCAGTAGACCATGCCACTTGGGAATTGCATGCGCTCGCTCCACATATGCCGCATTAGTTCCAGTACCCAAGATCACAGCAGCTATGACATCAGGGTGGTTATATCTGCCACCAGCTAATGTTCCAATTGTATCATTCACCTGCAACAGACTATCACATTAAAAATTACTTTCCTAGAAATACTTCAGCATGTGTAACTACGGAGTCCTACATTCAATATAAGCAACATCTATTATTGGCACCAACTCTAAATTGTCACTCAAACACAGTCACAGACAAACACAAAAGTCTCGGCAGATCCCAGCAGGAGCAACAAGACTTACCAAAGCAGCCACACGCATATCAAGGCCAACTCTTTCTAAGGATTTTGACAGCTCTCCCACCACATCTTGTCCAACCTGTTCAAAAGCCAGCCAACCAAAAAAGTAAAATAGCCTTAATGCCCAAGAACTGTCCAAAGCAAGAAAATCTGCTTTCAGTAAGCCGAGTAAATTTTGTTTCAGGTTTGATGAAACCAATTACACCAAGGTACCTACCCTAGCACCATTAGTCAATCAAGAAACTGCTTACTTTTCAAAATTGGTCCTTCGGTATAGGCCAGAACTGGTTCAGTAGGATACCAAAGAGCAGTTCTGAACCTTGTAGTGTTTGACATTTCCTAGTGGACAAATGGAGACTCACTTGCAGTCTCAAAAATGTGCCTAAAAATATGAATTAAGTAAAGAGTGTGTTTTCAGAAAAAACCCTGATAGCTTGAGGGAAGTGTGCTTTGTCTGATCCCATTTTCAAATTCACAAAAAGCCAACAAATAGTAATCTGATAATGATGTGACACCTAGAGGGTAACCCGAGGGAGAGTATGATGACCACAAAATTCTAGAAAGAATTTGGAGGTAAAACTAATGCCTTAGCCTAAAGTTTTGCATGTCATGAGAAATCCAGTTGGCAAGAGTTTTTTCAGTGTCTTTTCGCTGCCTTCTTTACAATTGAGTCTGTGTCCAGCCACAAGGGAAGTAAAGAATCACCAAACTAAGGCCTGAAGCAAAAAAATGAAATTAGCATGACTATTGCCAATAATCACATTGAAGAAAGACAGAACAGAACATAAGTATTTATGCTCAACAAAATTCCCAATAGATGGATTTGTTATCAATTCGTTAAATAGTATTAGTCCACTTAAGTTGGATCCAGAATTAAAGTAGTTATTGCATATATAGATGACTGAATAATTAATTATGATTACACATAAAACAGTAAAGGTATTTGAGATTAACCACATCTTCTATAGAGAATCCCTTGGTCCATTTAATGAGAGTCCCTGATGCAATTGATGATTGGCTAACTGGAAAGGAAAATGTGAAACCAAGCTCCCTTTGTTTACCGGGTGAAAGATTATCATCTTCACCTTCTGTGGCAACAAATTTTGCAAGTGCCGCAGCAATAAAATCAAATAATGCCTGAAATCACCAAATTTGAAGTTTGAGCGCATTGAAAATATTGTAATCAAGAGACAGATATTTTTTGGTGGGCTAAATAGATACTTGCCTCAGAAGTTCCAACCATCAAATGAGGAGGAATCGAAACTTCTTCAAATTCTTGATTGATAACATGCTTTTCTTTCCCACCCAACTGTACACGCAGGACACGGAAGTTTGTGCCACCAAGGTCCAATGCGTAAAATAATCCTTTCTCATCTCTAGACAAGAGAAGAGTAAAATTCAATGGCACGTTCGACCTTTTGCCCCCACATCAGAATTACAAATCTAGAAACAAAATTAGTTCAGATAAAGTATTCCATATTCAAAGGAATTTTCCTTTTTTTTTTCTCTTACTTTCTAATTGATAGATAAATACTAAACTAAACATTAATTTAGCATCTAGTCTAGAGAAGAAAAATCCAATTATTGTACATCATGTATAACATGTCGTCATCATTTTGTCAAGCATGATCTTAAAATTTCCAGACATAATTAACTTACAATTTGATTGCTGCATACACATTTGACAGCGTCTCCCTAAGCCAGTAATATTACCTTTTTTAAAGTTTACACTACACATGTATACATAAGAAATGAACTGAATCCTTTTTCTGTTTGTAATCAAAACTACCACGGGTGACAATATGTCAAGAATATAAGCGGAAGATATTTGATAACAGAAACTGGAAAAAGGAACTTAATAAACTACTTCAATTCATACATGTGACCAAACCAGTTCACTTATTTTGTCAAAGTCAAAGTGGTATTAAATTCGTTATTCTCCATTAGGCCTCTGATTTCATCAAATCAACTCAATGCATTGAATACGCTTCCAATATGAAAGTGGAATTACAGCGCAGAAAACCCACAATCAAAGGTCAAACAAGAGCTTTAAAAAGGAAAGAGGAAAAAGGTGGAAAGTAAAAAGCTTCAGATGGCGGCGACATGCCAAAATAAAAGGATGAAGACGCCTATAGAAATCATAAGGCGGTCATTTAACAAAGAAGGGCGAAAGGAAAGAAGAAAGAATAAACAACTGTTGGATTACAGAAAAAATGAATACTCCATAAAAAACCAAACAAGCATAAAATTTGAAGAAAAAAGATGGGTAAACGAAAAGATTGCTCATCTCAGCATGAGATTCCAACATCATGATTGAAACTCAAAATACTCAATATTTTGAACTAGGACAGGAATATGTCTCTCTGAGTACAAAATTCAATTCAAACCATCTGTAATTAGAACATATTCCTCTAACTCCAGTGAACCACAATAGGAATCCATTGTAAGAATATTATCTTTTTCCTCTTCATTTACACGCAATTGTGCAACCAACATTAAAAGTAATCATTTCTGTCATTCATAGTACCCCTGTAAACGATACAGTCTTATCAAAGCAAATCTAAATTATAAGTTTTTTTTTTTATTATTATAGAAAGTTCCTTCTTTATCCAATGAAACCCAGTAAATGACAATAACAGAACATATATATGAGCATGCCAACAGCATTCCTATGTATACATAATCTGAAATAGTTGAAACTTGAAAGTTATGAATCAATTTGAATAAATTACTCAGCAAAGACGCTCTCCATCCGAATCAATTAATGAACGATTGGAAGAAAACGCGTAATTATACATTCTCATATAAATTAATGATAAACCCAGTGATTTAATCACTCACTGTCACACTGATGACACTTCTAAGTTCACAGCTTTCAATCAAAGACTCATTTTTCATCCCCAAAATCAATAAATTAATCGCTAGAACACTCGTGTACAACTACTTCACTATGTTTGTGTGATATATATTACCCGGTGGGTAGGTTATCGACGTAGCTGATGATCATCTTGAGATGGCTACCGCCTTCGGAGGCGAGTCCGGCGTGCATCTCTACCGTCATGGCGTCGGCCACCTGGCAGAGCTTTCCCGTCGGGGTCTCACACTTCTCTTGCAACTCTTTTAATATGGAGATGACTTTGGCCCACCGCCCGGAGCTCTTCATTCGGTGGCGCACCACCAGCGCCGCCGCAGCACATACCGCCTCCGCGCACACCACCGCTGCCCCCACAGCCACCTTCCTCATAACCAAAACTAGCACACAGGTCGATGCAATCCACAAATGATAAACTCTCTGAAAGAAAGCCCTCTCACATTACTTTTCACTCCCCCCCCCCCTCTCTCTCTCTCTCTCTCTCATCCACACACACACACAAGTGGTAGCTTGATCAATTTGATTATTTTTTTAAACATAATTTTGGGATGGAAAAATAAGTGTTAACAGATTTGTTTGAAGAGGTCAGGAAGAGAGAGAGAGAGAGAGAGGGCCGTTAACGAGGGGGAAAATAAAAGACAATTTTCTCGGAATATTTTGAGGAAAAGGAGAAAGAGGACAGAGTTAAACAGGAGACCAATATAGATTTATATTTTTTTTCTGGATAAATGTATATATTTATTTCCTTTTTTTTATTGCTTAACCTTTATTTATTTCCTTAAAGTGAGGGCCTTTTCTCTTTCTCTCTCCAGCTTGGAATTTGGGAGAAAATATTTGTGTGTAACATCGCCGATTAATTATGAAATATCATGTGAATTAATTAGATTTTACTATTTCGATAGCTACCCATAATCACTATTCTCGGTAATTGAAATGGGGTCTATATATCCTCATGTATAATTTTTTATTATTAAGTAATGATATTATGTGTCAATAACGACAAAATATTTATTTAGAATTTGAAATTAGTATATCGATTTGTATGGAAATAAAAATGAGCATTTTTATAAGACTCATGCTCATATTTTTTTTCCCATGAGTTCTTCTCTTGAAATGAATGTTTTGATCTTTGGGCAAATTTTATTTTAATCCATACAATCCCCTTTGTGTTTCATATCTTTATGTTTCAAATATAATAATTTTGGATTAGAGGAATGTTATAAGAATTTAATTTATGAACTTAATTCAAAGTCGCTATTTTATTAGTTACAAGTTTCAATGTTAGATAAAGTTCACTTTCAAACCAATAATTGCATTAAATTATGTATTTATATTATGTCCCTCAATTAGGTTCAAGTAATATTTTCCTATGACTCCAAACTCGGGAAAAAAAAAACCATTTTCCTATGACTAAACTTGGAATTGATATAACTTTTAAAAAATTTGTCAAAATTTCATACTTTTTTTGTATAAAAAAATTATTAAGTTCTACAAAATTTAAGAGGGAATGGGGGTGTTTGGTGTCTTGTCCTTCTGGGATCATGGTTTTTGGGGTTATGCCTCCATTCCAACTTCATTTTGGCAACATTGAACTTTTGAGTCTGAAGCTCATGTTAGCATCCTCTGTTTTCAAATTAGTAACTGCCATTTGCAACTATCCAGATGAATCAAGTCTGATGCTTTTTCACTGTCTTATTTGGGGGTCTCCAATCCTCATATTGCGGTCTCACTATTGTAGGTGACGGTTGAATATGAGAACACACTAGCCATCCAACGCAATTGGAAGAGGAAGCGCCAGGATGGCGGGGAGGAAGGTTGCAAGTAGTACGTAAGGCATGAGTGGAGGCCACCACAGAAGTCACCAAGGAAGTTCCGACTACCTGAGAGTTGCGATCTCTCAACAATTGCTGGACAATGTAAAAATGGGGTACTGACTGATGGGACTTGGGAGACTCATCAGTCACAAGTCGATACGTAGTATAATATTACATCTAACAGATGTGTTTTTCAAATTTTTATGTACTGAGATTGATTGATGAGCACACTCAAAACCAAGTAAATATGCACCATAAGGGAACGAATGTGTGCACGACTGCTCTCGAGGATTAATTATCTTGAAAAGTAGAGTGTTGATGTGACAAATAATCATTACGATCAAATCAATTCAAAACTTATATCTAACAGTCGAAAAGATAGAGGCATCGCTCTTACTAGTGGAGAATAACCCTAGGGGACATCAAATTGAATGCTCAACACCAAACCATAAATGTTTAGCGATCGACTGTGAGTATTCGATATAAAGCACTTAATGTTCGAAATGATCTAATATTTAAGGGGTATGAAGCAATAAATGCTCAGCCCCCGAGCTTTTAACTTTGATTGTGTCTCGTCATCAAGTATTAATAAGGCATGACAAGAACACTTATTGTGTGGCTCGATGATGACTGAAGCGCCGTTGATATGATGGCTTCCTTGAAGACATTTCAACTGTAAACTGTCAAGCTTAAACTGTGAGTACTCAAGTGGTTGTTACATTATCATATTTGAATGTATAAATATTACAATAACATTAAACATGGGTATACCTACTGAACCAATTTAGCACCGTACATTTATCCTCTCAACTTTAAGCGCCGACTGGCCGAAGTATTGGAGGGGACAAGTCAAGTACATCCTTGGCCCCACCTCATCTCTTGTTTTAAGAATCAAAGTTCAAGCAAAAATCACTATCTCAAACTATTGTAAGAATTCACCTGTACAATAGATAAGCTTCCTCCCCCACTCACGTCCAAGACTATTGAACTTACATTCTCCTAGAGGGAATAATGTCAAGATTGAAGTTTTTTTTTCTCTGGTTCTTTGCGACAAGAATGATGTTGGTTGCCTATCTTTAACATTCAAGTTTGTGGAGGAAGCAATCTAGGGTAGATATTTTTTTGCACGCCCCAAAAGCACTAAAAAGAACAAGTTTTACCATTCCGTTTAGATAAGAGTCACCAATTTCATATCTAAACTTTCGGTGTGTATTTGGATTTGATAGTCCTACATATAGAACGGCTCTCATTGAAGTTGATCAATGAAATTGTTCATTCCAATGATTTTGATCATCAAACCCCTTGGTTCTGACTGAAAATTTTAGAATAAGACGGATTTCACATGGTGTTTGGCCGGCCTTGTGTCCACAAATTTGAAAATTGTGAGATTGAGTTTTGGTGGGGAATAAACGGTTGATATAGTCCTTTTGATCAACAATTGTCTCCACTTTACTGAATGAACCATGGGGATTATTTGTATAACTAATTCAACTAACCCAGTCAACTTTGCTCAACATTTTTTTTTTGCTAAATTAAAATTGAGATTAAGATTAAAAAAAAAAAAGGAGTACAAGCGATGTAATCAAACACCAATGTGACTCGACATATCCCCACTTTGCTCAATAACATATTCCTCAGCTAAATAAAGTTTGGACTTTTGAGCGTTTTCTTCCTTTGCTCTTTATTTTTTGATTGAAAACATAACACACCTCTAGACATTATTCACTGAACAGAAAACGATTGTTTGGAAAAATATAAGCAACATATGATATGGCTATGACTAGACTACGATGTCCGCTAGTGTGTCCGTTCAAAGAGTGATTTCAGATTGTAAGGCCTTGTGACATTGGGAATACCTTTCCACATTAGCCCTGCAAATTGCTGGTTTGCCATTTCAGAGGGATGACCAGAGTCAAAGAACAAATACTCACTCGCATTCTTACACAACTCAAACTCTGTTAGTCCTCGTCTCTTTCCTCCACAACTTGGAATTCCTCGGTAAGGACCAATGCCACAGCATGCTGTCTTGCCTTCCTTGAAACCTTTTACATGACAATTACAAACATGTATGAACACCCATAGAAAAAATTTAAGTTTTTTTTTGTTTGGGGGGGGGGGGGGGGGGTTTTT